GTACTCCCCTTCTCTTTATTACCTACTTTTATCTGATTTTGGGGAACCCGACTGTTATGCAGAGGCACTTAAAGATGCCCACAAGAGCAAGTGGGAGCTTGCGATGGACGACGAGATGAACTCGTTGAAGAAGAACCACACATGGGATTTGTGTGATCTCCCACAAGCAAAGAAGGCTCATCAAAACAGATGGGTCTATCGGGTCAAGGAGGAATCAAATGGAACAAAACGGTACAAGGCCAGACTTGTAGTAAAGGGATTCCAACAGAGATACGGTATTGACTTTACCGATGTTTTTACACCTGTTGTTAAGTTAACCACTATTCGTTTAGTGTTAAGCATCGTAGCGGCAGAAAACTTGGAGTTGCAACAGTTAGATGTGAAGACGGCCTTTCTGCATGGGGATCTCGAGGAGGAAATTTACATGGTGCAACCAGAGGGATATAGAGGAAATGATCAGCAGGTCTGCCGCCTAAAAAAGAGCTTGTACGGACTGAAACAGGCTCCTCGACAGTGGTATCAAAAGTTCGATAATTTCATGCTCGAGATTGGATACTCCAGGTGTAATGCTGATCATTGTTGCTATGTGAAAAGGTTCGGTAACTCTTTTATTATTTTACTGCTATATGTGGATGACATGCTGATAGCAGGATCAGATGTCAAGGAGATCGAGAGGCTCAAGGATCAGCTATCAAGGAGATTTGATATGAAGGATCTAGGAGAAGCGAAACAGATACTGGGCATGAAAATCACGAGGGACAGGAATGCTGGTAAACTTTGGCTTTCTCAATCTGATTATATTGAGAAGGTGTTGTGCAGATTCAATATGAATATTGCAAAGCTGGTTCGAGTGCCATTGGGAAGCCAATTCAAGTTGTCTAACAAGGATTCGCCCCAGGATAACTCTGAAAAAGAAAAGATGAGAGTTACGCCTTATGCTTCGGCTATAGGGAGCCTGATGTACGCTATGGTCTGCACCCGGCCAGACATAGCACATGCAGTGGGAGTAGTCAGCCGGTTCATGAGCAATCCTGGAGTGATGCACTGGGAGGCGGTAAAGTGGATCCTTAGGTATCTGAGGGGTACTAAGGACCGGGCATTGGTATTTGTCAGGAGTACTCTTACCCTCTCTGGGTTTGTCGATGTTGATTTTGCAGTAAGTGATCTTGACAAGAGGAGGAGTACTACTGGGTACGTGTTCACTTACGACGGGACGGCCGTATCCTGGATTTCAAAGCTGCAGAAGATAGTCACATTGTCAACAACGGAAGCTGAGTACGTGGCAGTGACGGAGGCAGCCAAGGAGCTCGTTTGGCTGCAAAACTTCCTGAATGAACTTGGGAGACCTCAAGAGGATGTTGCTCTATACAGCGATAGCCAGAGTGCAATCCATCTGGCAAAGAACCCCGTGTTTCACTCTCGAACGAAGCATATTGAGGTTAAGTATCATTTCATCCGGCAACTTCTAGAGAAGAAGATGCTGCAGCTGAAAAAGGTTCGGGGAGATAGAAATCCTGCAGACATGTTGACCAAGGCGGTAACTTTGGAAAAGTTGAAGTTGTGTGTAGCTTCGACCGACCTTGATGATTAAAACAGACAGACCCGGCAGAACCAGGAGCAGAGATGAACATGTTGATCGATGAGGTGTGAGGACAGATTGAAATCAGTCCTCAAGTGGGAGATTGTTGAGTCAAAATGGGCAATTAAGCCCACTTTCTTTGAAGCTGCCAAGGAAGAAAATAAAAGAAAGGCAGCAGCACACATGTGTGAAAAATGAAGCTTTCTTTTGTGGAAAATTTACAGCACAACTTTGTTGAAAAAAGAGGTTCACTTTTCTTCTATAAATAGAGGAAACTTGATGAATGTAAAATACAACAACCAAGAAACATAACAACAAAGAGAGAGAGAGAGAGAGAGAGAGAGAAAAGAGTAGAGAGAGTGTATTCATACGGGTTTGTGTATGTTGTAACACTCGGTTTATCCTCTTCTTTTAGTTCATTCTCCTGGCTTGGTTCGCCCCCAGACGTAGGATTTAATCCGAACTGGGTTAACAAATATTCGTGTCTTTTATTGTTTTCACATTGGTGTGTTGTTATTATTCTATCTTATCCGACCTCTTTTCCCAACAGAAACGGCTGATTCTTTTAGTATAACCTTCACACTTGTTACATTGAAAATAAATATAAGTTAATTGCCATATCTGTGTTCACATGATCAAAGCATCAATATTTTACAAGGGAGCCTGCTATGTTCTTTAGCAAAAACTTACATCAATGAGTAATCATAGTTGTCAGAGGATGAATTTCAATTATCTATGCTTTAGAAAGAAGATAAAACGGTGGAGATCAGGAATAACAGAAGACAAACTTGAAATTTTCAGGAGTTTTCCTTCTACAGTTCTTTTTATATTTATTCTAGCTTATCTTATTCAACAAAGAGACCCGGAGATTCAAGTAGTGCACTAAAAAATGAGAGAAGTCAAATTAGCTAATCCTTAAGACTAAACCAACTCCAAAGGGAAGGAAATGTAACTTTTCATTCACACTGCAAATCAAATTAATAAGTAAAAAACGGGCGTCATGCCATGCCTTCCGATCGTCAGATCTCAGTCTGTCAATCCTTACTATGTCTGGACTAAGAGAGCTCGGATCGAATCGGTATATGAAAGCCAGTGAATACTAGAGCCAGTAAAACGGTAAGATAGAAGCCATGCCCTTGATCTTAGGAAATCCCACAATGAAATCCATCGACAGCGAAAAATACATTCTCGGTTATTGAATTCGTCGATTTTGGCCCACATTCTTGCTCTCTGATTATATTTCCAAAAGAATGCATCAGAACCCCTTTTCCATACAAAAATTAACACATTGTCAAGATGTCTCAACCAGGGTCAATTTCACTATTCTAGAAATAGGTTTTATTTCATCTTCGATCGACTTACAGGTCAGGGTTTGAACCTACAAACAACCATTATACTATTGGCAATATTTCACAACATAATGAAAAAATGAGCAGCATGATACACCTTTGGAGCCTTGATACCAATTCATTCAATCAGTTCAACATACAAGAGCTTAAGGATATACACACTTTATACCATCACCATCAGAATAAGAAACATCAAAGATCACAGAGGAAATCATGTAAACCGTACAATGAAATATATACCATACAAAACAGAGGAGGTCCAATGAACGCACTTGTTCTCGTTTCCCTCAATCAGTACGTTGTTCTCGTTGCCCTCGGTCTCCTTCTGCTCGGTTGAAGATAAAACTCTCAGGAATTGCCCTTATTGCACCCTGTTGTATTCGATTGAAGGTGAAATTCGCCGAGAATTGTTCTTGTTGCAGAGCCGAGAAGTAGGGTTCTCAGACTTCTCGATTTCTTCTTCTCGATTTCTTCTTCTCAATGTGTGTTTTTGTTCGTTCATCTTATATTTTTTTTGGAGTAGTGCTATAGGTATATAATAATGTTGTATATAGATGGGTTAATTGCTAAATAAATCTTAACTTTTT